ACAAAATATCAGAGCCACGTCGTCAAGAGATCCATCCATCGCTGGACGGACAACTCCGGCAAAACGTGTCAACTACATACATACCTCGAACAAGATATTCACACAGAACAACGTATGTTTGTATGTGTATGTTTCAATTCGTTGACCAATTTCAAAAAAGCTTCGGAAGCACATAGTCTACGCCTCAACCATGTCTTACGAAAATATGCCGAATCCTTCCTCCAAGACATCATCCAGAACAACCAACATTCCAAATGCGGCTACGACGAAGACAGGCAAGAAACCCGGCGAACATAAAAATGCCAGACAAAGCTTCCACCGCTCATTATGCCCTTTCTCAAACTTCGAAACAACAAGGATTTCTTGGAGCCCCCCTGCTGTGTTTTCTCCCATTCAATCTCAACAGCCCCCCTTGCTGCATTCATTCTCTTTCAGAACTTTCAATCTTAACACCCCTGCATTATCTCCCAAAGCACAAAATTCAATCCATCCAATACGTCGACGTCGAATGGAATCACAAGCGACACCGAAGAAACAACGTACAAGAATGCATGAATGAAACTCGATGGTTGCCCTGAGTACAATGGAAAAACAACTATTCGATGAAATCGTGGTCACACACAACTCTCCCCCCGTGATTCTCATGGCAGTAACTGAAACGAAAACGACAGTATCAAGGCAAGTCAAACACAACGGCCAAAAATTATGCGCACAACACATAAAGATGATCAATCAATATAAACAATCCAAGAATCCGACAAAGTTTCATGACAATGTTGCGGTGCACGGAAAACGCCTCCTTGTGAAGTGATGTAAGAAACTCGGCGTGCTGCAAATGTGGCGCGACAAAAACGACCTTGAACTCCCCCCGGTCTACATGCTCCCGAATGAAATGCTGGCGGATGTCAATGTGCTTGGAGTTGGGGTTGTTGACCACGTGAAATCAGAACGACCATGCTCCAGAGGTACAGCAAGAATATCGCCTCCTTCGTGCCATCGGCCATTCATTGCAGCCTACTCAGCTTCAGTAGAAGACAGCATCACACTCTTCTCAGTTCGAGAGAAAAAACGACACGCACACATGGCAACACCTCCCGACACAGACCTCCTCTCTGTCGCATTGTTCGCGTCGTCCGAACCCACGTGCACCTCCAAAGAAACACCACCCACTGAAATGTAACACCGCATGCACTCGTGAACCTAATGTACATCAACATATGCAATGCAGCCTTCCAGTGCGTGCGCGAAATAATACCGCGCAACGGCCCGGAAGGCGCTGAGGATGTCCGGGCGAGTTCGATTCGCAACGCACATCAAGTGCCCCACCAACGAACGAAAGGGCTCTTCGAAGTCGGGTTCACACACATATAACTCTTTTCTTTGTTACGAGTGACACCAAACTTCGCGACCATGTTCGCGGCATACGTCTGTGGAGAAAGAGTAATGACACGCAGCAAAATTACGAGAATAACGAATACCAACGTACAAGCGAAGTTCTCCAAGGTTGGTGATGGAAATGTAGTCGCTCAAGTCTCTACCCAATTGCTCACACCGACATGGACGACAACGACCGAGGGGACAATCCCCTCTTCGGTAAAGTGCTTTTCCATCCCGGAACGCTGGGTAATCGATGTTCGCTGTGGGGCCGCCGAGGGAACGGGTCATCTGCTCGCCCGCCGCTACCAGCACACTGCTCCCCGTTATGCCGGTTCTGCAAGACCCCAACCGCATGACCAGAGGCGTCATCTCGTACCGCTGCTGGCTCGATGCTTACTGCCCTACACCATGCTGCCGGCCGTGCCCACCGTCACAAAAAACCGCCGCCGCTCCGAGAGCCGCGACCGCCGTTGCCGTTGCCGCCATTGCCGAACCGAAAACCGTCGAGCAAACAAGTGCGTGGGGGTCTTGGCTCGGTTGCACCGTCGCCGCAGCAGGCATCTTCATCTTCCCAAGCTATTTCAGGACAATGTTTGCGTAGGTCTTGCGAACAATGTTCTCAATTCTTCGCACGAGAAATGTCGGTATCGGACAGCGTGGGCTTGCGTTCGACCTCCTACTCAGGCGAAAGTTGGCGGACAAATATTGCACGATTTCTCGCCCGGATATTTCAATGCCGTCAGCTCGCATGGTGTTGCCGATGCCATCGACTCTGGCCCAGAACAGCTTGGAGTCCGCGCCGGTGTCCTCTCAACTATGTCCAACCGTCGCATAAGCAGTGGGCAAAGCCCGTTTTCGGAGAGCGTTCCACGCCCCCGGCACGCAGCTGCACGCAACAACTTTTCTTCGATGTCCGAACCGCAAGCTGCCTCCAAAAGGTACCCCCACGCCCGCTGGTGTCCCGTCCCCAACTGTTGTCCATGAATGCGGTTCAGGTAGTTGCGGTCCGGACAACTGAATACCTGGACGCAACCAGTAGGGTGTGTGTGGTCAAGGGTTTGCTCCAAACCTTCGACAGCGAGGCAGACCCGCATCCGCCCTGACCAGCTCATGAACTTGCTCGGTTCGGTCGGGTGCTTCGGTGAGTTGAGAGTGCCACCAAAAAGACCGATTAAAGTAACCGCAGTCGGCCATGTCCACCGTTTGAGAACCGAGTCTTGCTCCGCTAGCAACCCCAGCACGCGCTGCATCTGCAGCCGTAGCCCTAACCGCTCCCTCCATGTGTTTCTGGCACCTTCTTCGTTTCATCCTTCACCTCTTTTCGGGCTTCCTGGAGCTTCACGCTCTCCGCCTTTGCCTGCTACAACCTCCGCTCCAACTCTTTTTCTTCCTCCTCGCTTTCATGCTTATAACCAATGTGTCACTTGTTCTTTTTGCTGGATCTCCTTGACGCACGCTGGCAAAAACCGTCCTAGCTGCTGTCCTTGTATTCCAAACTCCGTTCCCGGATCCCTTTGACGCGCTCGATGGCAAACACCTCCCGGCAGGTGCTGTCCATGTATTCCGGTGCCTACCTTCCGAGCCTTTCCCTATCGACATCAGCTGACTCCACAATATATCGTGTTTGGGGTGTCGGCGCGTGCTGCGTAACTAGGTATCCTCCCAGGAGAGCCGAATCAGTGTTTGTAACCATGCCTTCAATGACCGTTGTTAAGGTATAAGGCCTTCTTGAAGCAGGCTGCATGTGGAGGACACATCGCGTGCTACAACTGGCTTTTGGGATGATGATAGTGTTTAGGCATACTTGGTCCAAGTGCTCTCTTGATGTGTCATGTGTCTGGGTTTGGTTTGTCATAGCGTTACCCGAACCCAAGCATTCTCGGTTCCCTCGCGTGCCCCCTGCGCTTTATATTATTTCAGGAATGCTTTGCATAGTAGCAGTACCTCACTCTTATTTACCCTCACCTAACCTGGACATTACGTTCGGTGTCCCGATGTCCTTTCTTTCGATGTGCGACAAGCGAAAAATGTCCAACACGTGACCTTGTTGCTCGCAAGAAACAAATTTGGTTAGAGCTGCTTCAGAACCTCTCATTGCCCGAAAGATGTCCGGAAATACAGCAGTATGGAATGAAGTCGCAGAAAAATTGGCCGAAGAGAATAACTCTGTCGGCAATATATTTCTCGTCGGTAGGGTTTCGCCGTCCGGTTCCCGGTGTCAACATCAGATTAATCCATAATAGAGAAGGCGTGGAAGCTGAAACCATTCTCTTATATCCGTATTCCCTCTGTTACCATAGCCAGCATTGTAGCCGAATCACAACGATGAAATGCACGTGTCATGTCCGTCGATGCATCACGACTTTTCCGACACACTGTCAACGACTCCAACAAGAATAATCATCCCACCTCGCAGGTTTTCCCGCGACCGACCTCCTAAAATGTGACGTGTGTAGCTTGCAGAGGCAGCATTTTACTTCCTGGAAGGAAGTTGGTTGAATGTGGTTTCCTGGAAGTTCACCTTGTGAGTTCCATGGACGTTTAGGCAAACGTCCGTGGAAGGTAAGGTCGGGGTGTTTCAGGAGCGTTCCAAGGTTGCTTGAACTTCCATGGAAGCTACATAATACAGTGGAAGCTACAAAGAATAGTGGAAATCTTTCTTCATGGAAAGAGCTTGGTGAGCTTCCACGGCAAGCATTTCGACCAACTTCCGTGGAAGTTACCCACGTCCGGGAGGCAAAAGCTTCCATGGAAGTAGAAGCTTTGGCTTCCACCTGGAGCCCTCATGGCACAGCTTCCATGGAGTATGTCACCCGAGTCCAGCTTGAGAGCAGCATCGGGCGACAGTTTGTTGTCGAGCTTCCATGGAAATTACCTTGAGCCCTTTCAATCGCTTCTCCCTCCACGGTTTGGTTGCGTTCACGGAAGTTACCGTGCTTCCATGAACATACCTTAGAGTTTCGGGGAGGTGTTCGACGGACGAACTTCCATCACAGCAATGACTTCCACAAATTAAGACTCTGGACGCGCTTTTGTGGAAGTAGCACATGCTCGGCGGAAGCAACCGCCCTCTCATTCCATGGAAATTTTCTCAACTCCCGAGGAAGTTGCCGCAACTGCCATGGAAGCTCACGCTAATATCCGACACGCAGCTTCCATGGAAGAGAAGGATATGAAGTTTCCATAGACTTCAGTGGGAAGGCGCATAGTCTTCATTTCTGCCAAAGGATGCCCTGTGGGGAAATATCGATTCTCACTTGTTTTGTTATGTGCGTCGAATGCCGTTAAGTACGCCGTGATCACAGGGGTCACAGAGATGAATGGGAATGATGATGTCTCGGGCATGTATTCGTCAAAACGCTCCCCTCACATGGGGTCACCTACTTCACGGAACAGAGCAAGCGGCCCTGCGTAGAATCATACGAACCTCCCCTGAAACGACACATTCTCCCTCCACGACATTCTTCAGATTGAAACCTCGGAACATCTGCAGTCTCACGTTCAACATATTCGAAAGGTAGAACTGTGGACACGTCGTACTGTGAATCCGACTTCGGCTTTTGCACCTGCTCTGCGTGTTGATCATTCGCCCGACGCTCTCACGCGTGTGGACAAATATTTAGGGATTCACGACCCGACGTGGCGGGTAGTTACGCCATGGAAGCGGCTACCAACATGCACACGTGTTTCTACAGGAGTGGTTACGACATTTCTGTGCCTCTTGCTCCCAAGCACGTGTTCAACGATCTGGCCGACGTTGACCCTTGGGATCGAAACTTCTTCCTTACAACAAAGGTATTGTGAGACTTTGACGTCCTCTGTTGCTACGTGGTGCCACGGCTACTGCAGCTGTTGTTCGTGGACCGAAGGCTGATCTAGTCATCTCGCCATGTCAAGCACTCAGACGTTGGTCATTGTGACATACGTAGCACTCGTTTAGATGGCTAGCTCTGTGACACGTCTTTCACTAGACATGTCAAATGGTGACGTCGGAATCGTAAGGGACACAGTGGCGGCCTAAAACATTGCTTGTCTTGCTTGAAAGGAAGATTCGTATTGATCGGTCGTTCGCATACATGGTGACAACTCTGGTCATCACATCAGAATCCCAGCACAACTCAACCAACGATGTATTGACCAGCACATAGGATCCTTGTATGCATACTGAAAATCTAAATTGCCTTGCACACACAGCAAACTGTCTCGAAAGATACGCCTTTTCACGTTCGGTAGCATAAGATAGTAGCAGATAACGTGAAGCCACCCACCTGAAACGTACCTAACGATGCTGGGTGTAGGAGCGTTGAAAATATTTCGGATATGATCCCAAAATAACGACGTACGTTTTCTCAGCGAGCTGCCGTACCCGTTCTTCGTACCGTTAACGTACTGCGCGATTGCGCGAAAAGGGTTCATTATACCTCAGCGGGCACGGTTCGGGGGAAAGGATGAGTCTTGTGCCACTCCAGGACGAGGCCAACGGAGTGATAATGTCGTTGCACTGCTTCGAAGTCCACGAGGAGCACCTACTCCCGGAAAATGTCGAGTACTGCCGAGCGCTGAGCGACCAGTACGACGACCATAGCTACACGAGCCTGATGAACACCACCTTCGGGTTAGTTCCAGCTGGCCGGTCTCCCGGCACGTACCGTCTCGGGGAGGTAATGAGCGCCGGGTCGATCCCCGTGTTCGTAGGCTGGGACCTGGTTCCCCCATTCGAGGAGCTAATCGATTGGTCGTCGTTTTCTTTCGCATTTGCACCGGACCAAGTGGAGTCGCAAATGGTCAGGACCCTACGGGCGGTTCCCCGAGCGGAGCTGGAGCAAATGCAGGTATTTCACTTGATGTTCTGGACATAATGGGGAAACTAGATGAGAGAGTGGTACATGGCGTATGCATATACCCTGGCGTGTTGTGCGACTCGTGGCCCGCGTAGAGATGATCGTCGGGAGATCGAATTATTCGGTGCCCACCTGGGCCACTTGAGTAGTGTTAGGGTTAGGGTTAGGGTTAGGTTACTTCTCAGAGTCTCTCTGCGTTGTCGGTATTTCGGCTCCTCATTCAAATTATGTTTATTGTACAAAATGGAGCTTATCCTGCACTCATGACAGCTGGTTGAGCTGGGTAAGCACATGTTGAGTTTCTCGAGCAACTACATCTCAAGTTCAGGCCCAGCGAGTTTATGCCCCATTCGGTCAGCCCCCAGCAAGAGGTTCGTATTCGTAATAACAAGGTCCCGCCCTCGCTTCGCATGCATTGTGACATCGACGACGGATTTTCATGAAGCGTAAGTCGCTCGAGGCTTATCGGAGAATCTTCGGGGTGAACATGGGCGACTTCGTTCAAGGCGCTAGAATTGTACTTGAAACTCTTCAAAGGCGGCTAGAACACCGGATGACGCGATGAGCGTCCATCTCCGCCTAAAGAAAAGAGTATGGCGCTCTATTGCGTTCATTGAGGCGGTGTCGGAGTTGGAATGCTTTCGTGATTCGTTCTTTTGAGGAGTCGTGGTAGGTCGTGCAGTGACCTTGTACCGCACTTCTGCGTAAAGCAGGGTGAGGAGACTTCGCCCCCCGTTGGGGATCTCTTGAAGGTACACAAGATGACGGAACCTTTCATCAATTTATTGTGTAGATTGTTTTGGTGAAAATATCCGCATTTCAGCACGTGGTAGTGTGCCAGGGTGGTAGGGATATTGTTCTCCACCCCAAATCGGGAACACGATGTATGTTGCCTCGTGTACGCCAAGCGAGGAAAAATATTCGGTTGTTCTGTGGAGCAGCGTCTTTTAGGTATATTATGAAAGGGTTGGGTCCCAGTGGGTGGGTGTCCAACACTTCGTGCAGTTTTCACAAATGACCCATGGGTATCCCGTGGGCCGCCCATGGGCAACCCATTAGGCCCATGGGTAGCCCGTGGGTAGCCCAGGGGCGGCCCATGGGCAACCCATGGGAAGCCCATAGGCTGCCAGTGACAGACCTTCAACCGAAATAGTGTTCTCCTAAAAAACGGATTATCTGCTTTGGGACGGGCACCATAGCGGTAAATAACCCTATACCGTAACCCTGACCCCAAGCCCACATGATACGAGCTAGGTTGGCGCTGGTGGCTAAGTTTATGGTTGATGTGCCGGTGGCAAAGTTCTAGGTTGATGTGCCCACGGTGGGCATTGCATGGGCCGCCCGTGGGCATGGACATGGATTTCCCATGGGCGGTTTAGCGAAACTGTCAGCAGTGTGGGAGATTGGGCAGATTTGGATGTTTTGTTGTATTGTGTGTTGTTGTTTTGAGGTGTGTGATGTCATCTGGTGCTATTGTATCACAGGAAACAGTATGATGGAACGCACCACAGCGGGTATAAGGCATTTGGACTCGGCTTACCAAGAAGAACCGAGATGTATCCCATCGGCAGGACATGAGTCTGAATCTTGGGGCAGGCAGCGCCGTCATACGAACCATATTTTTCTGACAGTAATGATATTTGAATCGAAGGGCGTGGGGGAATCCTTCCGTGCGGCTACGAACTGGAGCTCATATACACTGCTGTACGATAGAAACACTGTGTATGTGGGCGCTGATTTACGTGGATAAAACAATACCGAAACAAGCAAATGGGTAAATTTTGGTGTGGCCTACCTGTGACCCTCCTGTTCCTCAAGCACCATAGCGTGCTGTCCCCACGGTGAAAGTAAATGGCTCAACAAGAAAAGTGAGGTGAATAAAGACTTTCGGGCCACTATTTTGTCTGGGAGGGGTAGAAGGAAGATGGTGGGAATGGTTGGATGTTCGCGGATTTGCGGTGTTGGAACAATTCGCGACGCCAACAAAACACATTCATCCATAGGGACGCATGCAAGCCATGCACACCCACCAATATTACCGACGGAAATAGTGTGTGAGAAACGAGCGTCGCGAACATGTGTGTTTTTCATGTTTCTTCCACCTCTCGCTCTACCATAGGCAGGCGCAGTTTACCTTCAACCAGCAACTTACACGAAACCGGCTAAAATCCCTACCGCTATCCCTAACCCCAAACCCATCTAGTAGGTGCTAGGTTGGCATTGGGTGGCTCAGTTCTAGGTCGGTTTGCCTGCATTGGGGCTAGGCTAGCGCTGGGTGGTTCAGTTCTAGGTTGGTGTGCCGGCATTGGGGCTGGTTGGTATTGATGTGATGATCTCTAGGTTGGTATTGCTTGGATAGGTGCTAGGTTGGTATTGGTTGTATGATCTCTAGGTTGGTCTTGCTTGGAAAGGTCCTTTTTGGTGTTTATGCGATCTACTTAGGTTGGTAAGGCGTGGATAGGTGCTAGGTTGGTGCTGACCTGGGTAGGTGCTAGGTTGTGCGGCTAGGTCACTGTTGGTTGGTTGGGGGTGGTTCCGTTGATACAACAAGGTGTGGGTGCATGGCTTATGTGCGTCTCCATGGGTGCATGGAGTATTTTTGATTCGAAAAGTGGTTTCATCTTTTGTTCTAGGCGCCTGTGGTGTGAAGGTATGTATAGCTCGTCCCCACTCACCTGGTTCTTAATTGTTCCAGGGGTTTGTCGGTGTTTGGTCAAAGTTCGTCTTGGTTCGTTTCGCTCAAAGGCACTTGTGGAGTTTTTGGGTGAACAGTTTTCGTAGGCATTGCGTGTTGGTCAAGGTGTACTCCAAACAGGCGAGTGTAGTACCAATGTCATACGGTGGTGGTTTTCCGGCGGTAGACGGTTTGGCGGGTTTGGCTTATATGACGTCAGTGGAGGCGGTGGACCTAAATATTGCGGCAACATAGAACGGCGCTAACGTTTGAATGGTAGGCAGTTAGTGTTTGTTTGCGGAGGGAGCAGGTGTGGGCATTGACCAGGTATTGCCTCGTTGTTTTTTGCCCCAGGAATTATTTGAACGACATGCTGTCTCCGTGCCCGCGCCGCCATACCCTTTCGTCTGTATGGGTACTGTTTGGGCACGTCTGATGGATGCAACCATTTCGCTCGCATCACAGCGATCATTTCCCTCGCTCACATCGAAGTAACCGCCAAGATCCTTCATGATATAAAGGCAGATAGCCATATCCTCGCTGACGCAGGGTGTCAGTGAATTTTTCAGATCTCGTCGCCTACCGCAAGCGGCGCCGACGGCGCCGGAAGATTAACGAGTTACCTCGTGTGTGACAGAGTGGTTTGTTGAACATCTGCCACTCTAATTCCAAGAAGTTACTGCCTCTCGCCGTTTTTCTGCCTCAAAGCGTCAGTATTTGATGTGAACCCAGAAAGGGAACAATCGAAAACGCAATTTTTTCGGTGGGATACGAGAGTACTAGATACATTTGCTTGTTTAAGAAAGGCGCCTCAAACAATGGTAACGTTCTGAAGAATCAACGCAGCCTACATAAAGCGGTACGACAGCGTCATCAACGCACGACGCGTCGACGACGGCACCACCGAAGGTGGCCCGAAACCGCGCGAGCGACTATGTTGGAGCCAACCAAACGCTAACCCACCCCAACCCCAAGGGTGACCCAACGCAACCCCAGATTGAAATCATGCCAATCCAACCTCACCACGCCCACTGCAAAGTGTTTCCCCAGACCACATCGTCCGAAGGCCAATCCACGGCCAACCCCAGACTTGACTCCTACGTCGCGGACGACGGCCTGTGAAATGTGTTGACGTGCGATGAAACCTTATTGGGGACACAACGCGTAACATGCCCGTATTTTCGAATTTTTCGCTACTATGCTGCCGCCGTCTACGTTGGGCGGCCACTGCTGTCCTTCCTTCTCTCCACGCGCTCTAGATATATAGCTTCTGTCCGTCACTCAACTTGCTACACCGCTGCGTGCTCTCTTGTCAACGGAATGGCAGGAGGGGGTTCTACTTTCATCCCCTGGTGACCCCAAATTTCCGAACGATTAATGAAACTACAATCCGAAACTGTCTCCTCAATAAACCTCAGTTTATGTCTGTTCGACGAAGAAACTTTCCAATTTTCGAATAGGGCCGACGGCGCCGGAAGAGGGTGGGGCGCCGGGCGGTGGAAGGTCGGCGGCGTCCCGTTGGAGCTTTCCCTCAGAATAGAGTCGCAACGTTTCAGTGGTGGCAACAACCAATCGCATCGTTGGATATGGTTGTTGTCTTCACAAAAGAAACGTCCCGATCTCTCTACCAGTACCTTCTTCTGGCCGTACAAGCCTTATACTTGACGCGGTCGATTCCCGTGGTCATGGGCTAACTTCCCCGACAAAATTGTACTAAGTCTGCATGGAACGAACCCAAAGGGTTCGTAGCGACAGACACATTTACAACACAGAACGAACAAAAAACAAAAAGGGACACCCGAGACAGCAAGGCACGTCGTCGTTCGTGGGGTTTTGGCCTAATGGTGCGGTGATGGGGGGGGTGAGGATTAGTTAAGCAAGGGGTTCGATCCGGCACATGTCTCGCCACTCGGTCCGCCTCTTCTCGTTTGCTTCCTTCGCTCGCCGCCTCGCCCGGCTGCTGCCCCCCTCCCGTCCCGTTGGTAGTTGCCATGTCCGTGCTGTTGCCGGCCTTGTTGATTCATTTGAGCGCTCGTTGCCGGCTTGTGTCCACTTCATCCTTGTGCCAGGATGTCATCAACCTCTTAGCTCCCTGCAGTACCCCAGTATGTCACGGTACTGCCCGCTCCACCTTCGCGGCTTCCATCCAAGTTGTTTGCGGGACTCCGAAAATACATGGCTTGGTGTCCGTAGATCTGTTCTCTGCCTTGAACGTCTTGAGGTCATCCTTCGGGCACATCTGCCACTTTCGCTCCGGTTTCCCCCTGTCTACCCCCCCCTCCACCACCAGCTCGCCAAGCATCAGCCGTTTCGGCAGTCGTCCGTTTGGTTGCGTTCCCAATGCTCCCGCCAACAGCAGGCGCCGTTGCCGAACAGTGGCTTCCACCCTCTGGCACCCTACCCTCTTCGGGGTCTGGGCGTAGGAAAGCTCCTGGTAGGTGCCCTTCCGTAGGTAATGGATAACTCGCAGGACCAGCGGTCATGTATCGACCGCAACAGCCGGTAGTGTTTGTTACGTGGAGCCCATGTCATGCAACGGTAGTGCCTCTATCACCTCCGCCTGGAGCAGGCGACTCTTGAGTCGGAATGGTGCTCTCGGCGTGTCGAAGATCTCACAGCCGTATCACTTGACGCACGCCCACGCTGTTCTGGTAAGTTCTCTGCCGGGTGAGGTTGCTATGATCGTTGACGAGGCCACCTAGGTGCCAGAACTCAGCAGTCTGGACGTACCTGGGTATTTGACGAGTATTGATGTAGGGGTGCCCCGTTGTTGTTGTCTTCACATTAAACCGTATGTCAATTGCTAAATGCCAAAATCTAGCAAAGACTCTCAGCCCGTGGTCACGAAAGTGCTAGAGCCATCTGAGGATCTAAAGAACACGCACACATATAACGAGAAAAAGGTGTCCAAGAGCCCGAAGAGGTAGACTACACCTAAAAATCCCTGCAGCACCGCCGTATGCGTGCCCAAAAACTGAACTGCACGTCCGTCCCACCGTTCGACTACAATAGCATCACCCCCTCCCTGTCCCACTC